TGCTGAAATCCTTGTTTGCTCAGATGTCAGAAGACTGATGTGTAAAAGCTGACTCGTGAGTTCCTCCTCTTTCCAGCAAAGCTAACACAACTTTATGATGTTTCCCTAGGTTAAAGGCAATAGAAGTTGGAAACTGCCCTCTGAAAACACCCCCTCACTTTGCTCCGAGCCTCCCCACCGTCTTCAACATGGCTGGTGGCATTACTGACACAGGAGAGCTCTACTCTCCCTATGTAAGTACCCCTGTTTGTGGCTTTACTCACAAGTCTTCTCAAAACCCTCTTCCCTCTACACTGTGTCTTCATTTCCTGCTTCCCCATAGACACAGCCTCAGTGTTTCAAGATACGATGGAGGTCAAAGTGTAATCAAAAGTGCTTTTACTTGTAGGGTTTTATGTCACAAATCTCTTTATATGCTGTGAAGGAATGATGTCTGTACAAGGTGTAGTTCTAAAAGTGTTAAAAACAGCTTCAGGTGCCATACTAGCTCTTGCATCCTTCTGCCAACTTTACTTATATTTTTGTTAATGTTTTCATCAACTCAAAATTGTCATGTGAAGCATAAATGGGGAATTTTGACATGGAAACTATCCTACTTTTTTACTTTAAGAAATTAAGAGGAAAACTTTACATAAAGTTTACTTATTTGTAGCTGTTAAAGTAATTTGTTTTAAACCACTTCACATATAACCAGTAATCAAGATGTTTCTTCCTTGTGATGTGGTATCCTTTGAAAATGCAGAAACAATTACTGCTTTCCTATGTTACTGGAAATACTGGTTTTCATAGCCACAAGTGTTCATATAGCGTCAGCTCTTAAAAACAGTGCTTTGCATACAGTTTTGGTTTTTTTTTCTTCTGAAGTGAACTTACAGATGACTAAATATAGAACCAGTCCTGAAATCCGTGTGTTGGCTTTCAAATGCTTTAAAACTTTCAACCCTGTGCTAATGATTGGATTTAGAAGAACTGGATATTAGGCTGAATAAATAGGTCACAACTGAGAAAATAGAGAACAAGACAGTAACTGGGGCGTCTGGACCCTAAAGGATTAGTGTCACCTGCTCTTATGTTTTACACTAGTGTTGCACGAATTTCTTAGAGTCTAATCTCAAAGGCTATGACTCTGCTGTTTCTCTGAGGATGTCCAGCCAGACTGAATACACAGGCTCCATTCTTGTCTCTGTCTACTTCACCAAAGTCACGGAAATTCACCTGAGGTGTTTTTTCAAGAGTTCGTCGCTGGAGAGTGAGTCATGGCCCTGGGCACTGGAGTTGTGCTCGGGAAATGACAGCTCTGCCAACTGAATGAGAAAAACTTTCCTATAAGCTGCAATGGCTGATTTTTTTTTTTGTCCTTCTGGAAGGTCCATCAAAAGATGAATTTGCTGCACTTATGTCAGTGAATGTAGGGCAGGAGTGCTCACAGAGTCTCTGGGGAATAGTTCTCCCGTTATTAATTGTGCCACACCATGAAAAGTGCACTCAGACACAGTTCTTTACACTGACCTATATAAAAGAAAAAAAAACAACAAAACAACCGAAACTCTGGGGCAATTTTTGATCTTGAGTTCAGCTAAATTCATAGTGTGGGGGGGGTCTTTTCCAAGTGCACAGTTATCTTTTGCCCCTGGGCAGAAAAATGCTCATTGCAAGAGAGGATAAAATCCTTTACCTTCCAGAGGTAAAATACCTTCTTCAGAATGTGCTCAGTTGCTTGCTGGTAAGATGGCAAGCAGTCTTTGTATTAGAATTCTCTTTGGGTGTTTCCTGCTTGACTATGAATAAAGAACAACAAGAGATTCTGAAAGGTAACTTGTGAACGTAGTCATCACTACCTAGGTTCAGGTCAGAAAACAGAGACCCCAACCCATAGTGTAGACCCTGCAGGTAGAAGTCAGTGGATTTGAAAACAAACAAAAAAAACTCATTTAAAAAGCTAATATTAATAATAAAATACTAATAAATTGAAAAATGGAGAGGAATATCAGTTTCTCCAGAAATGTGCTGATGCTCACTGTGTTCTCATTGGTTATCAGTCCCTTGCTATATTTATTTCTAGCATGGGCTTGCTGACAAAGATCGCTCTTTCCATTTAAATCAGTGTGTATGTGAGATTTCTTGGATGATCTCTGGCCTGGCTGCAAACTCTCACCTTGGCTTATGTGGATGATTGCAGGTTGGTTTGGTTTACATGTTCAACCTCATCGTTGGGACGGGAGCCCTAACCATGCCGAAGGCCTTTGCAACAGCAGGGTGGCTTGTCAGCCTCGTTCTCTTGATGTTCCTGGGATTCATGAGGTAGGATGTGATTATATGTCTTTAGGAGATTGCTGGATTCGGTTGGGTTGGGCTGTAAGCACAGTGCTAACACTTTTGCTGCTTTTCTGAGTGATCCCATCCCTCTGCTGCTTGAGTGTTGGTCTCTGCAGCTGTGTTGCCTGTGGACCTTGACATTTTCTGACTGGCAGCAATATGGTGCTACATCTGACTGATGGGAAAGACTTTTTTCTCCAGTCCAGAGGCTTCTGGGACCTTTCTTCCAGCTTCTTTTTTGACACTGTGCTCCCTGTGGATACATCCCATGCTTACCTCTGTCGCAGATTAGTTCCCCAAACACTAACCAGGTCAGAGATGATGCAGGGACATTTCTCTGCTTTGTGATGTGCAGAGGTGATGCAGACCTGTTGCGTTAGCTTTCTTTTGGCTTCTGGCAATGCTCTGGGCAGCTGCAAGCATGTCAGGAAAACAAATTAGTGCATAGCTGGGCCCATCTTATTCCCCCCCACGCTTTTGCTCCTTGAGATCTTGGAACTGGTCTTTTGATTTTCACACAAACTGTCCATTGGCTTCTGCCCAGATGTCTGCCTGCTGGAGCAGCAGGTGGAGCTGAAGGCTGTTGATACAGCACTGATGTCTGAGTAGTTATTAATAGAATTGCCATCTTCTGATGGACTGTGAATCCTTGCTTGCTTCTTTCTTGGTTTTAAAATAAAATATATTTTTGAAATACCATCCTGCCATTTGTAAGAACAGAATTGAGAAGTTCTTTTCCTGTTGGCTCTGTCAGCATTTGATTTGGAGGCGGTGTTTTTTGGATCTGTTAAGTGCTGCTATACAGAAATACTCTATAGTCAGTTCTGACTGTAGTAACACTTGTAAGTTCCCTGCCTGAAAGCTGTACACTGCAAAGGCTTGTTAAAAGAAACTGTGGAAGCACCAGTAACTGGAAGCTTTGAAAGCAGTGCCTTTTAGATACATTAGTTTAAAAATTTACATTCAGTGTACGAAACTCGGCACCAGCAGACAGTCCTTCAAGGTCAGCAGAAGAGCACAGACCTCCAAACCTGAGTAACAAAACTGCACTGGGTTAAACAGAAAACGCTGCTCAAAGTACTGTGTGTCTTGGGAGCTGCATTGCTCTGTTGCTTTAGTTCTGGTGCTTGTGACTTCCTCCTGCCCGCTAGGGATCCTTCAGCGCAAGAAGAGTCTAAGCAGAAATTGCTACATGGGCCTCAGTACAGGGCTGCTTTCTTTTATTCTTGCAAAACTATTCTCTCATTTGAGTTTGATAAGCGAGTCCAGTTCTGAAGCAGTAAGAAACCACTTTAAAGCCTTAAATAAGATGTTAAATAAGGTTGATTTGAGGGTTGTTTTCTTTTATTATAGGACTGCTTTTAGCTGAGCTGATGATATTCCTTCCATCAGTGACTCTTGCTGTCTCCCTGGACAGCTTTTTCCCTGGCCTCCAGCAAAATGTATTTGTATGTACATGCGAATCTGCCCCTTGGTCTTGTGTTGCTGCTTTGCTTCTCATACCATATGTGAGATTCTTTAAGGGACTGTAGGCCCTTTGCCGCAGGTCCTGATTAGAAAAGTTTCAGAGTAGTACTGTGGTCATCCAAGGCCCTAAAAAGAGGAAGGAAGCTTGCTTTCTCACAAAGAGGGAAGTCCTCTTGCCACCTTCAACTAACAGAAACACTAGAAAGTATCTTCCAAATATCTGAAGTGTTGTCTTGTATCTGAAGGCATGTTATATTTTACTGCATTTTGTGGTCTGCTTGAACATCTTAATCTCAAAGACAGAAGGGAGCAGCAAACTGAGATGAAACACTACTAAAAAGGCAGTGTGTATAGAGAGTTGGTGAAAGGGTTGTTTTGGTTGGCTAGTTTGTTTGCTTGCTCCTAAAACCAGATGAGAATAGTTCTCCATGTCTCTCCAGTGACAGTTCTTGGCTATTATTGATACCAATTGAATTTGTGTCTCTAGCTATATGACTACAACTTTTGTGGTGGAAGCCATGGCTGCTGCCAATGCCCAGCTCCGATGGAAGAGAATGGAAAAACGCAAGGTTCGTGTGGGGTTTAATTTTCCATTATCTCTTTTGTCCTGTAGGACTTGCCTGAGATGCCTTGCTTCATTAGTAACTCTAAAGGAATAAATTTATACTGTACTTAACTTTGCCATATAAAATATGGCTGTTAGTTCCCTGTGGGGTTGCTCATTAAAGGCAGGATTTTCTGCTCCTGCTTTGAAAAATCTCTTGTGTTGTTCACATTTCTTACTGATTGTGCTCTTCTTGCCCAGAAGCGCTGCTCAGTGCATGTAGAGAGGTGGCAGTCAATATATTGGTGCCATTTGGATTGTGCTGAGGTCTATAAATCTTTGCTGATCTCAGGTCATTTAACTGGGACAAGGTGGAATGTCCTTGCTGCCACTTGGGCTGTATCCCAGGGAGTGGACAGTCCTGAAGTATGTTCATGCTGTAAAATTTGCTTGTGGCTTTTTCAATCCTGCCTTCAGTGGCTTTTCTGGATCAGTGCAAGGCATAATTGTGTGTGCTGATTTAAATCCCTGCCTGTATGTTAGTGGGTTGGAGTTAAGAGCTAGACCTGTCTGCTCTGACTGGCTAAGACTATATATGTTAGAATTTTTTTTTAACCAGTTCTGCAACCCTGCAGATCTGCCAGAAGTTTATAGCTTCCTTGTGCCACATACCACTGCGTGAATTGGACACTGTTGCTGTGTGCACGACCTGCTAGGACAGCAGTCTGTCGCTTGCTTCAGCGTGCTCTGCTAGTGCCCTCTTCTGCTCTCCATAGCATCCCAAGCTTGGGCCAAGGGCCCTCCTCTGCTGGCATGTCCTGCCCATCCCTGTTTGGGACCTTCCTTTGAGGAAATGAGACTGTGACACTGATGGTGCTACAATCTGTACTGTGGGTAGCAGACATTTCAGCAGTGGTCTTGTTCTTTCTTCCAGGAGGATGATGAGGATGAGGATTCTTCCTCTGGAGTATCTGATAGTGATGTTCTCCTGCAAGATGGCTATGAGCGAGCAGAGACACGACCTATCCTGTCAGTTCGTAAGTACCCAGTTCATGCTGTTGCTGGATCCAAGATCTCTTCTCTGCAGACAGTGTCCCAGTGTGCCCCAACAAGTGGAGCAGGACTCTTCTGTCCATTTCACCCTTAATTCTACATCCTCACATCCTAATGTCTTTAGCTCTTGCAAGATAAGACTCGTTGAGAATTCAGTTCACCTCTGCAGTCTGATAAAGATCTTTTCCTTCTAGGTCACTAAGATGAGAACATCTTACTTTGAAAACACTTTTAAACTAACTTCAGCAGAGTAATTGGACCAGTGACTGCAGCTGTGGAGTCGTACATACTGTCCTTCAAACTGTCACTAGAGCTTCTTGAGTGTCTTTGATAGTCTGGCCTCTGGGTTTATTGGAGGGTCTGGTTGAAGCACTTCTTGTTTTCAACTTGCAGAGAGACGTGGCTCACCCAATATCTTTGAAATCACTGAGAGGGTGGAAATGGGCCAAATGGCTTCCATGTTCTTCAATAAAGGTAAGTGATTCACATTTTCAAAAGTCCTTTCAGATTCTCCTGCACGTTGTGCGTGTGATTTTTCCTTAAGTTTGCATGCTTCTCTGTGTGGGTTTGAATCCTGCATTTGTGATGAATCAACCCAAAGGTTCCTTCTCTCTGTGGACTTTATTCATTCCCATGCAGTGTTTCTACAAAGTAGAATATTTGTGGGCCAGAACCTGCATGAAGGGGAGGGTGCTGTGGTGCAGTTTACGGGCCCAATTTCTTGAGGCAGGTAAGCGTAAGTCATTGCCTTTTCTGACTGCCCTTAACTTAACTCTGAACTGCATCCATCCACTGCAGTCTCTCCTGTCTGAAGCAGTGGAGCTCACCTGTAGTGTTCACTTGTTCCATCTTGGTTGTAGCATTTGAGAATAAGATGTTCAGGCTTCCCTGAACCCGTAAGTGTCAGTCTGAAGGAAAGAGAGCTCTGGAGAGAGCTGCTGTAAATTGCATGTGTCTGGGGAGTCACCAAGAAAACTGCTGGGACATGAACTGCTGAAAAGGGTCCCTGGTGTGCATGTGATAGGCAGCTGCCTTTGTCTTTTTACTTTTAAATGTCCCTTGTATGCCAGGGAACAAACTTGTAACCATACTGCAGTAAAGCAGTATCTGTTGCTTCATGAGATAGAAATGCAAACTGTGGATATTCTGAAGCTTGTGTAACAGTACATTTGAAATGCTATGCAGGCCAGAAAATAATCAGACACCATGGTTATGCAGTTTTGAGCCTGTCAGGCCCCATTTCTTGTGGAAAGTGACATTTTCTCTTGCTCTCTGGCCACCTTACAAAGACATGATGGGCTGTTTTTTTCCACTACATTACATCAGCTTTATGCCAGTGTAAGACTGTTGCCTCTGAAGGACAGCTGAGCTTAAGGAGTGAAGATTCTTTGAACAATATTACTTCTGATTTTAAAGTCCAACTGGAAAAAAACTTTTTTCATTTTCCTGCATGCCTCTTCCTGGCCGCCTTAGATTTAAATCACTTAGGACTATGAAAATAATCCACCTTGGATCAGGCTGCCACTTTTCAAGTCAGAGAAGAGGAGAGGTGACTTGAGTGTGGATTGGAGACCCATAAACACTTTGTTCATAATCTTGCCTGTAGCACTGGGTTGCTCTGACTTGAGGCACGTTTTCTTGCTTGTTAAAGAAACATTGTGAACTCTTCCCTGCCTCTCAGTCACCCCCTGGGGAGTAATATTTGGGAAGTGATTTGAGAGCAAGCACCATATAACCATATAACTTGCTCCCATAAGCAAGTTCCAGAAGGCCCCTGGTTTGCACATGCTTCACAGGGGGGAGGCGGTAATGACCCCTCAAAGCCAAGCGCTGGGCAGTTCCCTTTTAGACATCTCTGCCTGGGTGCTGACTGCTGCTCAGCCTCTAGAGGGTGCTGGAAATACATGTCCTCTCTCCTGTCAGGCACTGATGTACAAGTCCTAGCAAAGTGATATATAACTGCTTAGTACTCTAAATCTTAATCCCCCTTCTTAATGTTGCTTTAACCAGAGTTATCTGATTTCTGTGTTAGGGATCCTCCCCAGGACCTACTCAGCCCAATGCAAAGGGATGAATCTCTCTGCAGGAAGGCAGCTGGAGCAGCTGCTGACCATAGCTTGCAACAACTCATGGCATCCAGATGAGATGAGGTGCACATAAGCAAAGGGTCTGGGGCAGCTGTAACTCATTTGCTGCTTTCTCTTCCTCTGTGTGGGCAATGAGGCTCCATTCCTATAGTGTTGCTGAGTCCTAGTTCACAGTCACCCTCTGCAGATCCTTACTGAGGTGCTTCCTTCTGACAGTTGCACAGAAAAGCCTTCAGTAGGGGCAGTTTATACTCAGTGACCATTTGCTACTGCCCAGTGCTGAGAAACTAGGCCACACGTGGGAAATCCCAGCTCCAAGAACCAACCTCTGCAGTTCCACAGCTAGCAAATGTCTGAGTGGATTTTTGCTTCTTATATACAAAGCATGGATCCAAACCCAAGGTGTCTGAGGGCTTTACAGCCTTTAGAAGGAAAGTTGGTGAAAGCTTTGCAATAGACCTCAAAGGCTCTGATTTCTAGTGAGTTCTCTGCTCCTTTCTCTTGACTGATTTTTATTTTCAACAATCTGACAGGAGTTGAGTCTGCAGTCCTGGGAGGTAAGCTGGGGATAAATCTCAATTTCAGACTGTCTGCTTTCTTAAAGGGAGCTACCTCAGACTTAGGCTGTGAAGGGCCTGTGTGCTCTTTCAAAAGAGCTGGCTCTGAAGAACTGGGTTTTTGCTGGCTGAGGTTTTTTTTAATTTTATTTTTTAATTTGCAATGTTGGGTGCTTTCTTCTGGGACTGAGCAGTCATTTATTGCTATAATGGATTCTAGGCACATCTATCATACTGTTTCCCCATAGGAAGTAATTGATTTTTTTTCTCTCCTGTGATTCCTTTTTGTGTCCAGTAATGGAAGTATTGATCAGGGAGGGTCAGTAGCAGTTTATAAAGCTGATGCTGAAGTCTTCCTGTCTTTGAGAGAGTTAGTTTGGGAGGAGTGTCACCTGGACTTCCTACAGACAGAGAAACCAGCACTGGAACAGGGATGTAGTGCGTGCTGATGGGTACTTGGTGGTGCTGGGGTGGCTTAACTGGTCGTGTTAGCCTTATTTTGTGTGTGGGGCAGCTGAGGCCTGAGCTCAGTAGCAGATCCCAAAAGCCCTTTCTTTAGGAATGTTTTATGCTAAGTAAGTTCAGCATATTCAATAATTTATTTAAACAAAGGAGAGTGCCTATTAATGTTTCCAGACATCCAGGGGCAGTATAATGGCAAAACATGGTAAAACTCTGGGGCATGCAAGCACTGTAGAAATATTAGTCTGTATTCCTGCAGACTACTGTCCTTGTCTTGTAGTTGTCATATGTGAGGCTTGGAGAGGTGAACTGACTTGCCCAAGCTGCATTAGAATTAAGCATCAGGTGGCATCGCAACTTGAAAGTATTGTCAGGTTTCTTGAGCTGTTTTCCTTCAATGTTGACTTCCTAAATGAAACAGATCTGAGGCCTTTTTTTTTTTTTTGTAGCTCACTTGTCTCTGAACTAAAATATGTTCAAGTTTGGTTTTCCTTGGTGAGATTTAAACTGACTTTCTTGGATGAAAAGAATCCTGGGGTCTCATCAAGCATTTCTTTCTCCGTGCAGATTTTAACCCTCCACAGCAGTGTCATGTTCTACTCCAGTAAGGTTGTTCTGTACACCCAATTAACTTGTGTAAGACTTTTAAAATCACATAGATGAAGCCAGGGCAAGCTTTTGGGGGAAAAACAAAAACACTAAAAACACCTGAGAAAACAGGAGGGGACAGGAACAGCGCATACACTGTGTGGCAGTAGGGTAAGAGGGCTGTAGAAACAGAGTTTTAAAGCTTTGCAGGTTTCAAACTTGGCTCAGGTTGCTGATGGTAAGGAATCTCCCAAAGCAGCTCCATTTCAACCCTGTGGAACCTGAGCTCCGTAGAGCGTGATCCCTAATGTGAAAGTCCTGCAGGATTGCAAGCAGAGGGTTTGGAATCAGCAGAGATTAAAAGCATCTTCTCTCTTCATTTTGCTGTTTGTCAGGCTGCACTCACACCAAGTCTGTGAGCATCAGCTAGATGTTTGCCTGTGGCTGTTCCAAGTTGACGGCTTCATCTGGCAGATGACTTATGTGAGGCCTGTTGGTCTTGACCAGCGACTGGAGGGTGAGCTTGAGCTAGAGGGCGTGGTTATCAGGCTCATATATTGAAGGAGGCAGAGTTGAGCTCTGAAGCACCTTGTGTCCCATCAGTTCCTGTGCTGTGGCTAAGTTCCCTAACCTGCTGATGTGATCCTTGTGTGGAATTCGCAAAAAAAAGTATATTATGGAGGCAAATGGTGTACTATGCTGTTTCTGTATGGTATTTCCTTTTCCTGCAGTGGGTGTCAACCTCTTCTATTTCTGCATAATTATCTACCTCTATGGGGACCTGGCAATCTACGCAGCAGCTGTACCTGTCTCTCTCATGCAAGTGACCTGGTAAGTGTGCTTACTGCCATGGGGTTGTGTGTTAACAGAGGCAGGAGCAGGCTTTTGGATTTGATGGGGTGATAAGTCTGTCTGATATCAGCTCTACTATCTGAAATGAAGTGGAGTGGAGGATTGCCTCAAGGACAGCTCATCACTTGTGAGTGGGAAGGTGAAGTTGTTTTATATTCCCCACCTGAGTGCCTGCTGCTTGCCTGAAAAGTAGCCGACCTGATTTCGGATAAGTACTCAGGTGTGAAGCACTTCCAGCTTCAGCACCTTGCAGACATCCCATGTTGCTCAATAGTTTGGTTGCCATACTCTGCAATATTTTAGCTTCTCTTTTACTTTGGATAAGAGCTGAGAGATGTGATGCTCACCAAGCCTGTGACCAGTGAGTGGTGACAGTGCATGGACTTATCTCTGGACTGAGATGAATTCCTTTCTCAAAGAAACAGATAATGAAAGAGATTGGTTTCATCAAATCTGGGCTAGGCTGGATTTGGACTAATGACTTGGAAATGGAAAACCTCAGTGATCCGTATATGACCTAAACTTGCTAGCTTGATGACCAAATGACCAAACTTGTGAGTAACTGCAGGCAATCCAAGAATTTGCCTGTAAACGTACGGTACTTGTTGACTTGCTGTGTTACACAGTCCAGAAAAATAGGAGGGAGGATGTTCAGGGAGGGGAGTAATGGGCACTTCAGGTCTGCAATCATTCCTCTTTCTTGAATACAGTAGAGGGAAAGACATCTGCTAGGAGTTAATTACTGTCTTTTGTTTCTCCCTCCTTTCCCAGCAGTGCTACTGGCAACCATTCTTGCAGTGTTGGAGATGGCACAAAGTATAACGATACAGACAAGTGCTGGGGGCCAATTCGAAGGATTGATGCTTACAGACTGTATCTGGTGAGTTTCTGAAACTGGAATGACCGTTACTTCCATTTAAACTTTGCTTCTACTAAACAGGGATTTTTTTTCCTGTAGAGATAATGTGGTTCAAGTGAACAACAGGTCTGAAGCTTTTGGTTCAGTCTGACCTTTTTGGCCAAATACTCCCTCTCTATTCTTGTTGATATGGCTATGTTTTAATTTGGTGGCCATGAGAACTATTCTTATGATTTTAAGTAGAGTTCCATCCTTCTTGTTGTGTAGTTTTATATTACTTAAGCAGGTGGTATGTCCATGCCAAAGGGTGGGGTTTGTTTTTTTCTTTTCCAGTGGCTGGCTAAGTAATTTTTACTTTGAGGTAATTGTTGTCAATATACTGGAGAATATTAAGCTCTCTTGAGTGCATTCTTGATGTAAATAAAATTGTTTATGCTGCAGGAGAATCTGTTTTTTGAGAGATGATGGGAACAGCCGACTTAAACAACATCCAGAGCTATATGCTGCTTTAGTAATAGCTTTCTGTCTAGTTTAGGATTGTCTATTACATCTATTACTGAGCTGTGGTTCAGCTGCGAGACCAAGGTTTTTCCCAAAGCATGATAAAGGCTGCTTCTCTTGAGCTTTAGGGGAGTTGAGCACTTGTGCCTCAAGACAGATGTCAGTAGGGCGAAAGGAGGAGGAGGCGGTATCGAAGTGCTGCAGAGCATGGCTTCTGTTGAGGGTCTCAGTGAGAATTTTAAGAAAAAAGTGTGAAGGTGTCTGTGTGTGTGCAGAGGGTAAAGACTATTTGTAGCAATTTTGCAGTCGGTACATTTTGGACTTGCAGTGGATCACATCCCTGAGTGCACTTGTTCCAGTGTTATTGCAAAAGTAAGAGCTGGGCCTCACAAATACTACTGAATGTCAAAGCCTAGTTAATTATTTAGGAGAAATATTATTGCTTTATTAAATTGTGTCTTGGTCTGTTTCTTTAAAACTTCCAGAAGATTGAAGATTTCCTTCCTGAATTTCAATAACTCTCCCTGACCCAGCAGAAGGAGCTAGTCAGAAAAGGCAGACATACATTAATTACTGCCTGCATCTCTCGGATATTATGTCTATAATTCATGAAGATAATTGTTGTTACGACTTGAAAAATTAAAAAAATTAAGACTGCGTAAGCCTGAGACTTTTCGTCTATGTACAGAACTCTCAGAGGAGCTTTTCCCTCTGCTTGTCTACTCTTGTGGATTTGGAGAATAAATATCTACAAAGTCTCTGGTAGTGGTTAATCCTTCCCTGCTCAGTAATTGAGATGAGAGTTCTGGTGCTTTTTTCTGCCCCCCCTTAGAAGTAGGAAAGGATTGTTTTTGGGAGAACATACCAGTCTGTGGTGGTTTACTGGAAGGGGAGGGTGGGTCTAACAGTCACTGTGTTAAGGGAACTGCTGGGCATCAGCATTACCTCTGAGTTGTGGTTTTCTGTTTAGATCTCTAATGCTTCTTACTGGATGAGTATGGGAGTCAACTGGGACTTGTTCTACCTCCAGCTCTGCTGGCCCCAGTCTCTGCTTCACCCATGTGGTTTTATTCTTCAGAAAACAAAAATGATGACGACTTCCCTAGAGAGAGATAAGAGATGTAATCATTTATAAAACACTCAGACCCACAGTACTGACACTGTTTCAAGTTTGGGCTGTCTCTGAAGAGTCTGTGCTGGTCAATATTTTTCCCCGCTGTCCTGTTTGCAATGTGGACAGTGACCAGTAGTTAGAGCTCTTAAACTTTGAGAGAAACCTGGGAATGGGAAGAAAGGGATAGGAAGTTGCTTGATTTCAAGCAAAAGAAGTTGGGTAAAACATTGTAACTGTCTCTACAGATTTTGTCCAAGTTTCTTATGTGTAGAAGTTAGGTCCTGAATATGCAAGAAAAGCTGAAGCCTGCCTGTCTGAAGGGGAAAGGCAACAGGAAAGTGAAGAGGAGTGAGAAGCATCAAGAGCATAGCTGTTCTCTTGGTCCCAGGAGATCATACCCATAGAGAACTTGCTCTGTTTTCTTGACTTTTTCTTTTTTTGATTCTTGCTTGTTGGAATAATTCAGGCTCCACATTTCAGTGGACAGACAAGGTCTCTTTTTGCAGGTTTAGTTCCCCTGTGGCAAGGGGACAGATGGACGCTGCGATCCCAAAAGAAAGCAGCTGAGTTTTTGGATCAGCCGTTTTGTCCTAGATGCCTACCTCTAGTTTTATCACCTTGCCTTAGTACTGTATTTAAGTATAAATAACTTTTAGGAGAAAGATGAGTGAATGTAGCTGGAACTAGTCCCTGGATGTAGTGTTATATTTCTTACTTGGTGCATGACCCCACAGAAAGCCTTTTTTGGACTACCAGGAGAAATATTCTGTTTGAGGTTTTCTGGGAAAATTGTGCCAATGGGAACTCTCTTGTGCCAAGTACCACCAGTCTGCCAAAGATCTGTTGCTGCCTTCCTCCTGTCGACTCTTTCTCTCCCAGTGCTGTCTTCTTTTCAACAAAAAACATTTCAAACATTGACTTTTTGAGCTGGGGGTGGAGAGAGGAATAATGACTGATGTAAAAATCCTATTTCATGGTTTATTGTCCAGAAAGGCCTCTGGAAGCTGTCTCTTCTCTGATCACTGTGAATGGAAGCTGAAAGCTATGTACATAATGAGAATATTTAGACAGATTAAATTCTTCTCTTGAGACTTGCTTGTCTGTGCAGCATCTTTATTGCTGCTCCAAAATTTCACACCTAAGCGTGACTGCAGAGTCTTCAGAGACCGCTAGGCCCCTATTATTAACCTTTGTCTGAACAAATGGTTATCTTGCTTCTTGTTTGTAAATTGCCTTGGAAAATAAAGGCTTGCAAAACAAATAAGTGAAGGCAAGTGCAGGAAATAACTGAAATAGTCTCTTGCTCCTGTCCCATCACTTGCAGCTAATACTTGCCTCCTATTTGGACCGTAGGAGTCCTGGGAGGTTTAAAAGACGAGCCTTCCCGTGCTGCTCAATGCTTGTGAGGGCAAGACCATGCAGGGCAAATCAGCTGGAAGAAAGGCATGTGGTAGATGGCCCCGTGACCTTGTTGAAGGCATACACTGATTACAGTTAAAGCAGATTGATGGCTTTCTATCTTCGCTTAAGATCCGACACCGCGCTGTCATGTCCTCGACAGCTGAAGTGACTCCTGAGTCCCTTGGCTATCTTGATGGCACTGCTAAGGACGGGGTTGAGTTCTCTCCGTACTGAATTCACACTTCAATGCAGTCACTCTGTTGTGCTTGCTGAAAGGTCAGCTGGATGTCTTCTGTGTAGGCTGCGGGGAAGGGGCAGTGGATTTAAGTTTCAGATCTCTCATCATAACACTTTCATGTCTTTCTGTTCCAGTGATGTAGGAATGCGACATGATAGTCCCTATTTCTAGAAAGCAGATACCGAGATAAATAAGAGATTAAGTCCTGGGGATCAGCAGCCATTCGGAGTGTCTGATCCAAAATGCATTCATGACCTGGCAAATGGTGCTTCTCTGCACCAGGGCAGCCACTGTAGCTAAAACCTCTACTCTCTTCTCAGCCCTCCTCTTCTGGCAATTTGGGGCATGATGTCTTCCCATGATGGAAAGGAAATGGCTTAAATTCTCAGAGGGAGCCGTATGCCTTTCAGAGGAGGCACTGGCACAGGTACTTCTGGTAGCCTGGCTTGGTAGCACATCAAAGCTACCAGGTGCATCTGTTCTGTCTGAGTCTCTGTTGGTTTTTTAGCTGATTGGGAAAGGGACGTGGCATCCGCTTTTGCCGGTTCACAGATGCCGCAGTATCACAGGCGGCCCAGCGGGTGCGGGCCGAGTGAAGATGGGAGCGCAGATGGTTTAATGGAGATTATCCCAGTTGGAAACGTGCTTGTGCAGTGAATAAAATGAGTGGGCTTGCAGGCGCTTACCGTCCCTCTTCAGGAGGGGACAATGTCACCCCAGCCTGACGCTCTGATCAGAATACCCGGCGACCAGAGTGGGGCCGGGCTGCAGCCGTAGGAGGCTGTGCAGGGGGGTGAGGAGGTAGTCTGAGGACACGTACGACTGCTCGGTGCCAGCAGAACTTAATCGGTAAATGTAAAGGCTGAACTGATAAGTGTTGATGTCGATCCTGTCTGCCTCAGGACGGTGCTGTCTTCCCAGCCCTCTTCGACCATATACTGGAGCACTGTGCTTTCTGCTGCTAGTGTGTGTACTCTGCTTCCCTCCTTGGCATTTCTCCTTCCAGACTGTGCTGCGTGTGTGTGCCCCCTGCTCTGGGTACAAGTACCTGTGATTTTTGTTGTCAGAAAGGATCTTTCCAGATGCATTTGTTTGCACTAGGGCAGTTTTGACATGTTCAGTGCATGAGACTGTGGCCTCTCTGTCCATGTCTCCAGCTCAGCGTTGCAGTTTGCCCTCTGCAGTCTTTTCTTTGTGGGGTTTTGTTTTGTTTTGTTTTGTTTTTTACCTCCCAGCAGTGACATGAGGGGAGCTCTCATGGCAGTACTTGAACATCCACGCTTGATCTAAGCTGTCTCTTGTCAACTGGGAGCTGGAGAAACAGAGCTGGAGCAGTGCTGCAAGCAGAGTGCTTCTTCCAAGGACACCTGGGTTTGCTCTGCTTGTTCCCTTTGCAGTGAGTGCTTTTCCTCTGCCCTGCCTTCCTCAGCTGTGCCCTGCAGCAGCATCCGGTAATAAATGGGTCACAGCTGCTGTCTCCTGGATATTTATTCTTACAGGTCTCAGTGTCTAGAGACCTTGAGAGCCAGTGATGAGGAAGGTAGCTGCTTCAGTGGCAGGTGTCTGGAGCAGGGAGGGCTGATTTCACAGCACATCAATCAAAAAGGTTTGGGGTGCTTGCACTGGAATCCCAGAGCGAGCCATGGGGAAGGAAGGAAAGCTGATGAAAACTTACCCTGCTGGTGTGAAGCCATCGTCTTGTTTAAATAAATTGCTTAAACTGTAGCATTGCTATGTTCCAGGTTACCCCAGCTTACAGTAAGGATG